ACCCAACCTAGGGATGCATATGACAGCCAACTAAAAAGCAAGGGGAAGGAGATGAGGGGAATGGAAGAACACGGCACTAACCCATAGGGAATTGTTTATATCTCCACAGGACAGGGAGAGAGGGACCTCATCCCAGTGCGCCAAGCCTTGAGGGCAACATACTGACATAGAACAGCGAACTAACAGAGAGGACTGCAGGACTGGCCCCAATCCCAACTATGCTGACCCCCTCCCCAGAAGAATGCACTACAGAGAACAGCAATGAAGATATAGCACAGGGAGAGTGATGGGTCTGCCCAGACCACACAGGAGCAAACAAAGAGAAAGAGAGAGTGGACCACATCCAGGCCCACCAGGCCTCAAGGACAACATTCCTGCTTGAAACAGTCAATGCACACAAAGAACCATAGGCCTGACCCCACCAAAAGACATGATGTCCCCTTACTGACCCATAGTACTATGGAGGACCACACTAGAGACACAGTGAGGAAACTGTGCCCTGTCTGACTCCCTACACCAGGGTGAAACACAAAGAGAGCACAACAGAGCAGCAAGGGGAGCAAAGCTGTGGTAGTTACATAATCTTGAGACACTAAGGAGATAAATAGATCGCTGGAGGTGGGACATTCAGACACTCCCTGGGAGACATTCCTGTTGACAAAACACATGGAACTACACTAGAGCCCTGGAGCTGAAGGAGCCATGTGGAGACTCTGCCAGCACTGAGAAGCTTATACCACCACTGTATCCACAAGATTTCCACCCACTGGTGGGATCTCCTTGCATTCAGTGTCCTTAATTGTGTTGCAGATTCTGAAGAGGAATTTATAGACTGGTCTTGGACATATGGGCTAATATTAGACTTATGAACTTGATCTGCACTGGGCAAGATATCTTCTCAATATATAATTGCTCTTGTATATAAAGCTCTTTCTTATACACATACGAGTATCTATGAATTTGTTTCTCTAGTCAACCCTGAGTAAGATAAAAGCAAAGCGGATTCCTTGAGGAATCCTGAAAACAGACTTCTGACTCAGGGGCATGGTTTGGCACCTCATCAGACCTGATCGGAAAACATTCATAAGGGTTGGCAGACAGACTTGGAACAATTTATAGACTTTTTCTTTTCCTTGCCTATCTATATAAGATAGACATGATTGTTTACAATCCCCAGGAGAAAACAACAGGACCAACAGCTCTGTGGGACATGAGAGAGGAGGTGGGGTAAAGGAAGGGGGGAGGCAACAAACCCAGGGACGAGGGAACAACAAGAAATCTAAAATCAATGGTGAGGAGGGCATAGAATGCCTGGTGAGGTTTGATCAAGTGCAATGTAACTGAAAGGAACTACTGAGAACCGAATGAAGGGCAACCATGATAGTGGGACAAGAGGAAAGTAAAAAGAAATACAGGAAAAAACAAGAGGCAAAAGACGTTTATATAGGTATAAATATAGATATGTACATATGTAAATATATTAATATATAACTATAAGGATATAGGTCTACGTATATATATTTATATGTTATATATTAAGGTAGCAGACGGACATTGGGCTTCTACTCAAGTCATTCCTCAATGCAAGAACACTTTGTTCTAATAACCTGGCATTCTGTGATGCTCACTTTCCCAACATGATTGCTGAAGACAAAATGGGTACATAAGTAAATGTGGTGAAGAAAGCTGATGGTGCCCAGCTATTGCAAGATACAGCATCTGGGGTCTTAAAGACTTGAAGTTAAACAAGCGGCCATCTAGCAGGGAAGCAACAAAGCCCACATGGAAGAAACACACCAGCCTGTGTGATCACAAGGTATTGATAGGATCAGGCATCAGGAGACCCAAAACAATCACATCGATGTGGACGAGTGGGGGTAGGAGTGGAGATTCAAAGCCTATCTGTAGATAATTGGACATCCCCTTACAGAAGGGTCACAAGGAAGGGATGAACCAGGCAGTATGTAGTATAGCACCAATGAAATACACATTCCTGCAGTTCTTTAATGCTTTCCCCCCCACCCCTATCATGACCCCAGTTCTAACTTACAAATCTGGCGAGACTGGAGCATGTACACTGGTACATATAAGACCTCTCATCACACAGAATCCAGGACAGATAAACCCCTCAAGAATAGTAATGGGAGTAGTGATACCATGAGGGTAGGGGGGAAGGGGAGGGAAGAAAGGTGAAACCAATCACAATGAACAACGTATAACCCTTCCTCCTTCAAACAACAGAAACGTGGGTGAAAGGAGAGTGGTCACTGTAAGATATGAAATTAATATTAATATTTTAAAATCTGTCAAGGGGTCACAAGGGTGGGAGGGTGGAGAAAAAATAGGAGTTGATACCAAGGGCTCAAGTAGAAAGAAAATGTTTTGAAAATGATGATGGCAACATATGTACAAATGTGTTTGATACAATTGATGTATGGATTGTTATGAGTTGTAAGAGACCCCAATAAAATGATTTATTTAAAAAAATATAACTTAGAAACCTGTACTATCCCATAAATTAAAAAATTATACATGCTTCAGTATATGTAAAAGAATGGGTATTCAGGTATATGAATCACTAAAGACCAGAAAGCTATAGTCAATACGTCTAGCAATTACCTCTGTGTTGGAATATACGTGATAACTTTTTTTTTATTTGCCTCTTTGTATTTTCAAATTAATCTACAACAAATGATTATTTGGGTAATTTTTTCTTTAACCAACATGCAACATGTTTGCCCAAATAGTAGGAAGTGAAGAGACTTTTGACTTTACTCTCAATATGAGAAATATAAATGAAAACATGATACTACTTCATACTCAGTATTGGCAAGATTAAACAGATGGCTAAAACTGAATGCTGGTCCTTGATATATAAGAAAATGGGAACCCTAAAACACTGTTAGTGGTAGCATTAACTGGACTATTTTGAAAAACAATTTGGCACTATTTGGTGAAATTAAATATGTGTATGGCCACAAGTCAGTAATACCTTTCCTCAGTATGTACTACAGAGACACCTTTGTATAATGAAGGATATTTTTGACTATACTGACAGCACTATTTGCATAAGCAGTTTTTTTTTCTTTTTTAATAAATAATTTTATTGGGGCTCTTGCAGCTCTTATAACAATTCATACATCAATTATATGAAGCACATTTGTACATATGTTGCCATCATAATTTTCAAAACGTTTTCTTTCTACTTGAGCCCTTGGTATACAACAGAATGAAATACTGTCCTGCTCCAATCCTATACACATACACTACTATTTCAACCTACTGAAAAGCATCTCGTTTCAAATGCTGAGATAGCAAACAAAAACAACTTTCCCAATTGCTATACCTTTTGAACAAAATATACCATACTATAAAATCAGTCAATTCTGTTTACTCACAGTTGAAAGTTAACAAACTTCTAGTACGACCCATGTTGTCCCACTAGCTAGTTTTTTAGAGTCACTTTCCATTGTAAAAAAAAAAACCTGTTATATGTGGGCAAATAATACTGAACCAATTCAGCTGGATTAGGCTCACTATGTCACTTTGGACTAGGCAAAATCTGGGTAACAAGGACAGTTTCTGAGTCTAAGAGATAATGAGGTGCTCCACATAGTTTATTTTCCAGTCAAAGAGAATGGAACTACAGCCATATATTATGCTTGCAGACTTATATAAAATTGATCCTAATATAGCCATAAATTGAATATTTTGTCAAACTTCCACATCAATGTATGCAATTGTTTAGTGTAATCAATAAGATAACAAAAAAAAATCTATAACATTGCCAATTTTATTATCCCACAGAAAAAATTTTTTATTGTTTAGGAGGCAAAATTTACAATCTTGAACAACATTATATAATTTTCTCTAAAAGAAATAATGACAAAACAATGCATAATTGGCACTAGTTTCTCAACTCTATTATATCAGAAACTATTTTCTCAAGTAGCCATATTATTAATATAAATAATAAACTCTGAACTAAAAAATGAGCATTTTCTTTAAAAATAAAAATCCCTAACTATAAAATTTAATTTGCAACTAGTTAGTAAATTGTCTCCTCTTTTAATTCAAGTATACTGCTTGTTATAAAAAAAGAAAATTAAAAATCTATTTCATTTCTTTCTGTTATGTATCTCATTTTTCACATCATACAAGAGTTGAGTAAAATTTCTTGCAAGATGGTTCTGTTTTTCATTTATGTCACATGTTATATATTTTTATCTTATAATACAAATTGTGGCAGATTATGTTACAAAAATGGCTGCAACATATAATCTACTAACATGCTCACCTTACAATGTGACACTGACAATTCTCTTTTCAAGTGACACGGTGTCTATGTCCACTGTGAGCAGACCTTTGTGATTACTTCAACCATAAATAGAATGGTAATGCTATATGACTTCCAGTTAAATCAAATATGCCATGTACTTCCATCTTGCTCTTTTGAGATGCTCTCTATTGGAACCCAGCCATCAAGCTGAGAGTCATGTCTGTAGGCGTTCTGGCTGACAGCCCAGGTTGAAGCCCCCGCCAAGCGCCAGCATTAAACACTAGACACACAAGTGAGGGAGCTTTCAAATGGTTCTTGCTCCCAACCATTGAATCATCCTCATCTACCCTCCAGCCACCTCAACTGATGCCACATGGAACAGAGAAAAGCAGTCCCGATTATGCCACCCTTACTTAAATTGCTGATTCATGAGCAAAAGAGGTAATTGCTATGTTTTAAGTGACTAAGTTTGAGATGGTTTGTTATGTAATAGCACATAACTATAATACATCTCATAATTCGAATTTGGAAAATCAAACAAGAAGAAAAATAAGTGCAATCACTGCTAACATTTTGACAAATTTTGTACTCAATATTCCAAATGATTTCAGGGTAAATGGTTAATTTTTAAAAATTGTCTACTGTTTATATCTGGCTAAAAAGAAGGAAAACCACTAACATTAATTCCATTTTTCTTATTCTCAACTGCTCTTTCACTTACCTATTCTAAGTGAGGAGTCTAGGAATTGTTGACCCACTAATATTCCAATCTAGACCTTGGGTTCCAATGACAGCTGCACTGGCTTGTGCTTCCTGGAAGAAGTGTCAGTCCCAAATCTGAAAATTTCAAGGACAGAAAATTAAAATCCTAAGTATAGACACCATCTTGTAGTCACTTATAATTTCATCTCTATAGCTATGACAGCTGGTTGCAGAGAAGTAAAATTCATAGCAGTGAAACCCAAGTCTCGCTAAAAATAGTTTAGTAAAGTCTGTAATAGGATTATATCTATCCACATACAAGGAAAACCAATCAATATAAATATTATTCAAATGTATCCACCAAACACTAAAGATAGTGATGAAATTGAAAAATTTTACCAACATTTTCAGTCTGAAATTTTACAAGACCAATGACTTCTTCATCAAAAATAACCCTTTTTTTTTTTAACCACACATGGACTTCTCCGGATGGAATACATAAAAATCAAACTGATTATGGATATGGGAAGATACAATGGAGAAGCTCAAAATCAGCAGCTAAAACCAGGCCAGGAGCCAAGTGTGAGAACATGTAAGGTTAGGTTGACAATGAAGAAAATTAAAACAAGTTCACGAGAGCCAAAATATGACCTTGAGTATGTCCCACCTGAATTTCAAGATCATCTTACAAACAAATTTGAATGTAACACTAATAACAGAAGATGAGATAAGGTGTGGGATGAAGAAACAAAAATGTCATTAAGGACAGGAAAAAGAGAAAAGATCAGCATTGGTGTTAGAAGAGACTAGAAGAGACTCTGAAATTTGCTTTTAATTGTATGTAGCTAAGGCAAATGAAAGAAATGAAGTCAAGAGCTGAAAAGAAATTTCAAAGGGCAGCTTGAGAAGACAACAAAGTATTACAATGAAATGTGCAAAGACCTAAAGTTAGAAAACTAAAACATCAGAACTTGCTTAGCATATCTTAAACAGAAGGTACACAAGAAAAAACTTAAGCCTCAAATTGCAATAGTGAAAGACCTTATGGGAAAAAATGTTGATCAGGAAGCAACGAAAGATTGAAAGAATACACTGTATGAAAAAGAACTAGTCAACATTCAACCATTTCAAGAGGTAGCATATGATCAAGAACTAATGGTATCAAAGGAATAAGTCCAAACTGTACTGAAGGCATTAATAAAAACAAGTTTCTAGGAAGTGACAGAATACCAACTGAAATGTTTCAAGCAGATGAAGCACTGGAACCACTCATTTTTCTGTGCCAAGAAATTTGGAAGTACCTGGTCAACTGACTGGAAGAGATCCTTATTTGTACATACTCCGAAGAGAGGTGACACAACAAAATGCACTATAATATCATTGATATCACATGCAAGTAAAATTTTGCACAAAGTCATCCAATACCCCAAACTATTAGGGCCACCAATGAGGGAATCCGGACAAACCTGAGAACTTTGGCACAGGGAATACATAGGCTATTGGAAATTGGGAAGGACACAAATACAGGTGAGGCACAAATTGACAAGTGAGGTATACTGAAGATAAAACACCTGTGTACATCGATAAAATTCACCAAGAGAGTAATTAAAGAGAGCCCACAGAATGGGAAAACATCTTTAGCAATGACACATTAGACAAAGGTATTATTACTAAAATCTACAGTACTCTGCTAGCTTACAAAAAGAAAAAAATGAATTGCCTAACTGAGGAGGTGGGCAAAGGACCTGAACATAAGTTTCACAAAGGCAGAAATCTGAATGGCCAAAAAACATATGAGAATAAGTTCCCAATCATTAGCCATAATGGAAATGCAAATTAAAACAACTATGAGATACCACCTAAGATAGCCCAATTCAAAAAATCAGAAAGCAACAAGTGTTGGAGGGGCTGTGGTGATATATGAACTCTCATTCACTGCTGGTGGTATGTACAGTCACTATGGAAATCGATTTGGTGATAGCTAAAACTGATGGAAATCAAACTACCAAATGACCCAGCAATCTCCTTACTGGGCATATACCCAGAAGAAGCAAGAAACAAACCACAGCCAGACATCTGTGCTCCAAAGTTCATTGCAGCACAGTTCATAATCACAAGGAGTTGGAAACAACCCAAATTTCCATCAACGGACAAATAGATCAAAAAACTCTGGTACACACATAAAATGGAGTACTACGCATCCCAAAAAAGCAGTGATAAACGCATGAAGCACATTGCTGCATGGGAAGAATTGGAGGAAATTATGCTAAGTGAAGTAAACCAAGCACAAAAGGACAAGTACAACATGAGTCTGCTGAGGTAAGCTTAAAAATGCAAAATGGGTATAGGGAGAAAGCTACTGTATACATATATTCTTGGGTTGAGATCTAGGTATTACAGCAGGGGCCAGACAGAATTCAGGGATACATATGGGAGCCAACTAAAAAGGAGAGGAAAAGAAAAAAATAAAAGACATAGGTAGCGGGGGAATGGGGCACTAATCCACCTAAAGGGATGGTGTTGTTTATATCTCCACAGGAGAGAGAGAGAGAGAGAGACCAGACTTCAACCTAGTGTGCCAAGACGTGAATGCAACGTACCGGCATGAAGCAGGGAACCAACAGAGAGATCTGCAGGGCAGGCTCCAATCCCAAATACGTGAGGACAGCACTGAAGTGAAAGCTCAGGGAGGGGGGCATGTCTGATTAGAGCACACAGGAGCAAACAAAGAGGAAAGGAGAGAGACTAGAACACATCCTGGCCCACCAAACCCCAAAGACAATATTCCTGCTCATAGCAGCCAATGCAGAGAGGACCATAGGACTGGCCTCACCAAGACACGACATCCCTCACTGACCCATAGCACTACAAGGGACAACACTGGAGGCACAGTGCACGACTTGTGCCTGATCTGACCCCACCACACCAGGGTGAAATCCTAAGGGCGTGCAACAAAGCAGCAAGGGGAGCAAAGCTGAAGTCCCTGAGGAATACCAAAATAGACTTTGGGGCCAGAGCATGGCACCCCATCAGACTCGACCAGAAATCACTCCTAAAGGTCAACAAACAGACCTGAAACTATTTATAGGCTTTTCTTTTTTTGTCGTTAATTTTTGCTTTTGTTGTTTTGGGTTTTTTCTTTTGTTGCTTTGTTTTGCTCTGTCTTGTTTTTGTTTTATTATTGTCTCTGCATATCTATCTAGATAAGATAGGCAGGATAAACAATCCAAAGGAGAAAACAATGGGACCAACATTTCTGGGAGGGGGGGGGGTGACATAAGAGGGGGAGGAGGGGGGAAAGGAAGGGGCATGTCAACAAACCCTGGGACGAGGGAACAACAAGTGATCTAAAATCAACGGCAAGGAGGGCGTAGAATGTCTGGTAGGGCTTGTTCAAGGGCGATGTAACCAATAGGAATTACTGAAACCCGAATGAAGGCGGAACAGGATAGTGAGACAAGAGGAAAGTAAAAGGAAATAGAGGAAAGAACTACAAGGCAAGGACATTTATAGAGGTCTACATACAGGCATGTACATATGTAAATATATTTATATACAACAATAGGGAAATACATCCATGTACATATATTTATATGTTAAGATCAAGGTAGGAGACAGACATTGGGCCTCTACTCAAGCACTCCCTCAATGTAAGAACACTTTGTTCTAATAACCTGGAATTCCATGATGCTCACCTTCCTGACAGAATTGCTGAAGACACAATGGGTGCATAAGCAAATGTGATGAAGAAAGCTGACGTGTGCTGACGTGCCCAGCTATCAAAAGACATAGCGTCTGGGGTCTTAAAGGCTTGAAGAGAAACAAGCAGCCATCTAGCTGAGAAGCAACAAAG